AAAGAAATCAACCAAAAGACAAGCAATTTAGCATGGAAACTCTTTGGAGAAAAACCACAGAACTAGCACCAAGTCCACCTAACCTAATCCACTAACTCAACCAATAAGTCCATAACTCAAAATCAATTACACATTTAAGTATTATACTTCAACCAATAAGTCCAGGGTTAGATGATTTGGAGCTTGTCAATCTCTCCTCTTGATACACTCACTAAAATCTTGAGTAGCTTCATTTGGAAGTGCTCATCAAAATGAACCGTCTAGGCCTCGAGTAATCTTCAAATGATGTACCTCAAGATTATGGATATTCACACAACCAATGTGGGTTTAGGTGAAATACCAAACAATATCTTCTTTTTCAATGCGTGATGTTGAATAGAAAGGATCAAATAGGCTTTTGGCCTTTGGATCTGAGTGATCAAGGGTTATTCTTTGCTCTCTATTTAGTATAATAAGATGCTTTGAGGCTTTTAAAAAAGATACCCTAGATAGGAAAGACTTGACCTACTTACAAGTCCAGAATTAGAGAAGTCTTGAGGTCTAAAAAAACTTTCATTCGCGAAGGACCGCTCAAACTGTCAGAGAGTAGTCAGAGGGTGATTGTCACTAGACTGAGAAAATGATTCAATCAAGTTTAGTAGATTAGAGCCTATTTGAACCATTGTCAAACCGCTCGAGTCTTCTGCAAGTCGCTCAAGTAGCCAAAAGGGCAGTCTCCACTGCCTAACTTGTTAGTCTTCTCCGATTTGTCCCTAAGTATTCAAAGACCGCTCTAACTGAAGGTGAGCGAGTAAAGGACAGTCCCTACTATTTTCAAATGTAGAAATCAAACTAAAATTTGTCTTATTGAACACTAAGGAGTGTTGCTTAAATAGGATCCGATATATGACTCAAATTGTATTTTCAAAACAAGTTTCAATGTTTGAAAAAAATTCCTAAAAAAAACCCAAGAGTTATTTTCAGATTATAAAAATCAAGGGTCTTAGGTATTTAGGTCATTACCTTTCCTAAACTTTGAAAGTTTACGGGAGGTCTTCTTGGTTAGACTTTGAAGCTTGAACTCTTTCCTTTTTTAAAGCTTTCGGATCTTGATATTTGAAACATTATGAGCATGGACTTAGATTGACATTACAATGTGACTTCATAAAATTAGAAAATTACAAATAAACAATTTCCTAACAATGACAATGCATCATGTGTGCACTTTTTTACTTTATTATTTTTTTTATTTTATCATTTTTTTAATTAATGATTACAGATAATTTAATTCAAAATCAATCGTCCGAATTATTTTTGGGCACAATATTTCAGAGGTAATGAAGTCTTGCCCTAAATAGTACCTCCTCTGGATTTTAGTGGGGTGACTCCCACCAGTTTCAAATTTTTGTGGGATTTGGGCTCCATCTTTTGCTTAGATGTTGACCCTTACTAGTGTAATCAAATTTATTAGTGAAAATTGGGGTTGAGTCCTTTTTAAGGGACTTATAATGAGTTTAATCCGTCAAGAAAATAATTTGAAGATAAATCCGTTTTTAATCTTACTAATAAGTAGTTAAGTCCACTATTTTTTTAAAACTATAAAATACCTTTCCTTGAAGCAACTTTAAATTAGTTTCTTAATTTGAAAATTATTATTTCTTAATTCACTATCAATTGTGAGCAATATGATACAAATTTATATATATATATAACATGTTACTACTGTTATTTTTTCAAATATTAATACTTAATATTAATTTTTTTTTGTTTTGAATATTATTATTTTTTTGTGTTTCAATGTTATTACTTTTTTTTGTGTTTAAATGATACTATTTTTTGTGTTTGAATAATACTATTTTTTTTGTATAATTTTACTATTTTTTTAATGTTACTATGTGTGTGTGTGTGCCTATATATATATGAGAGAGAGAAATAAATAGTCATATTCTATATATGGACATAGATATGAGAGAGAATTTTAATATTAGTCCAACTCCTAAAATTTAGGAGTTGTTAGTTTTCAAAATTTTTGTAATTAAACATAACTACTAGGGGTATTTTGGACATTAAAGATTAAAATGGACTTAATATTGAACAAATTTTTCTTGATTGACTTATTTTCAAATAAGTCTACAAAGGGGACCAGCCTCCAAATTTTTCAATTTATTATGTAGGCATTCAACTTGCAGGTATGAGATACGTTTTCAACTTGTAGGTGCGCTAAACTAAATGATAATGATCTAGTGTGAATATTCATCCAGATCAGGCAAAAGCTTTAGGGCATGAGACCCAAGCAAGTTTTTTTTTTTTTTTTTAGATATGTCAATTAATTTTATTTTTGAAAAGTCAAAAGTTTCACGAAGAAACTCTAAACACGTCCCAAATCATTGTTAGAAAAGATTTCAAACATAACCTAGTTTAAATGATAAAACTGAAGAAATATAAGTTAATCTCAATACTCATTGATCCCCGGGAGAGAAAAAGAAAAATAGAAAGGAATCCGACCATGTATGTCCTTTTTAATTATTGAGATCTCGTGATTAATTAATGTAAAGGTTGTGATATTTTCTTGTCATGTGTTATTTGTTCTTTTGACTCACTTATCTTGTTGTAAAGCTTCGTTTGAAGTACCAATGAGTTTTTGGTCCAATAATACTCTTTACTTTGTGAAAGTTTTATCTATGCACAGGGTATATAACATTGGTGCCACAACAAAATCTTCTTGAAGCCACAACAAAATCTTCTTGAAGCCACTCTTGTTTTATGTTCTGTTGTTTACATTCAATTGACTTGTGTTTGCTGATAAGTGTGATTGATCAAAAGAGATAAGTGTGATTGATCGAAGAGGGAGAAATGAGATATTGAAAGATACTAAAGTTAATTTTATATGACATGCTTAAAATCCACTATGAAATCAAGAATGAAAAGGGTGAGGCATTTGGTGTTGATGACATCTTTTGGTATTGATTTTGTCAAACAAATACAAGCTAGGCATGAACAGCTTGTATTTGCATGTAACACCTACTCTTTGCCCCTGCAAGCTTGGCTAATGCCACTGTTACGGGTCATTTTTCAACAACCAAATGGCGAAAAATAAAAAATAAAATTGCACTTGTTTGTTTCGAACCTATAAAAACTTTTGATGTCAAAAAATTCGGCATTTTGACTTGGGGAATTGAATAATAAGCGGCTTCTCCTTGGTCTTAAAAGTCTCCAACTACATTGGGGAGAAATAAGTGATACTCTTTTTCTACCTTTGAGATCACATGTTTGTCTATTGGCGAGTGTAACACCGGATGAATGTAGATTAATATCAATATTTTTCATTTACTTAATATAAATAAATATGTTCATTCACTTACTATCATATCGTTTAAAAGAGTCGATCCTAAGCACAAATAGAAGAGGGAAACCTTTATCAAACCTCTCATGGATACAAATTCTTGACTGTATTTTGTCTTTGGATACCAAGTAACCTGTTATATCAAGTGGCCTGCAATCATATCCATGAAGCATAAACAAAAAGCAGTGTTGTTGTAAGTGAAATTGAGTTACTAAAGAGTACACAGTTAAATCTAGATATTAACTTCTTCTTTTTTTGTTAACTATAAATAGAGATTAAGGAAAAGAAAGTACAAAAGATATAATCAATCATCTAAACTCTCTATCTGCTCACAGGCCATACAAAATAGTTCTTTACCTAGTTTGTGAAAAAGATTAAAAGTCATTTACGTCTTCTAATGGCGATTTTTACAGATAGTTCGTAGTTGGCCTTCATTTGCCAAGTTAAAAGTGACGTGACGTGTAGTCAACTTTCTAGTGGAAAGGCAGATTTTAAACTTACTTACAACTTACTTTGCTCTAGAGAGAGCTTCCTGAGCCTAACCAATTTGGCCACCAAATCTTTTGGAATGTATTTAGAAGCAAAGTGACTTTGAAAAATTTCTGTTATTTCAACTACATCGAATGTTCTTTCAAATTGATCAAGACTATCTTATTTCTGGCCGCCTCTCTGTAGTACCAGTTGTTACTTCAGACTCACTGGCTGGCCTCTCCATTTCCTTCATTAGCTTCTTCCCTTTTGTCTTCTATGCTGCTGTGTACTGATTTTATTTGGCTTTGGAAACCAACGCACAATTTAGAATTAGTGTCCTTCTGTAGCACTGCAAATCTGTTTGTTGGTCGCTCGCTCACAATGCCATGATGGTGATTGATCTTCAAGCATAGCTTTCCTCAACTCTGATGTAGGGAGATATGCCTACTGCTTGTCTATGTTCTCCAAAGTTGTTTCGATGTCTTGTTCCTTGAGGACCGACAGACTTTCTGCATTTGCAAATGGAAAGGTTTCTTCAGCTTTTTTCCTCCAATTCCTAAACCGAGTTATGATTTGGTGGCTTAAAATTGGGCATAGTGACTGGTTTTCCCACGTCATAATCTCACTTTAAGATTTCTTGTGTTGCACAAGAAGCCATGGACCAAAGTCTCTTTCCTGGTAGTTATGGTGTCCTTGAATCTGCTCTTGCTGCCGCTGTATCTCTTGTATTTGTTGCTGTGGCACAAGATTCAACACCTACATTTATCATGTAATTCGGCAAGTTGAATTTGGTTATTTTCCCATCGTCATCTTGCCTTAAGATGAAAAAAAAAAGAGAAGAGAAATCGTTAAATATCGAAGTTCATTAAATTAGATGCCACCCTGTGAATAACTAAATAACTGCATCCGCTTCTCACTGGCGGTAACCCCAAAAATATGGTTGGATTCTTAATGGAGTAAGGTTTAACTTCAAGGTAATAAAAAAGTATACTGGGTTGGGTTAAACTGCACATGCAACCAAGCGGTGTAGAGTTAACTTTGGGGTGCAGTGTATTCTTGGACGTCTTAAGTTCAACTCTCATTGTTGTCTTTTGGGCTTACCCGATGCCTGTGGTTGGCCCTTCCAGTGGTGTATTCAAAGGGCTTCAAGAAGCTCAACATCGTCAAAAGAAAAAAATAAGTACACCCAATGTTGGTTAGAACTGGACCAGCTTTTATCCGTGTTGGATATGGAGTAGAATCTCCATCCAAAAGTATACCAATTCACAATACAAAATCAAGAGCATTTTGGTAGAAGATTTTGAAATCAAACTGTCACGAAATATTCACCTTTCATGGCTAGAATTAAACTGTTCGTCCTTAAGATGTATGTCTACTGCACTACAAGTTCCAGAGTCATCATGAACACGATAATTTTCATCATCTTGGGTGTGATTTGTATCCATCTTCATAAAATGAAAGCCCATTATATACCTGTACTCTCCGGTGCCAAGACAACGAGAGCAATTACTGAGTCCACTTCCACCGCAGGTCCTGCACCTGCAAAAGTTAATGGGAGACATTAAGGAAGCACCAATAGATTCTTAAAATAATAAGTAAAAGATTTTGAGACTTCACCATTTTGGCCATTCCCCTTTTGGAAGCATTGGTAAATCAACATGATTTGTCCTTCCTGTAATATTAAAAAAAAAAATAGAATAAAATTCCAAAGGGGCAACAATAAGGTGGAAGAAAAACGAATTAAAGTCCATATATGTGGTTAAACACTCGAATCTAATCAAGAACCAAAACTAATGAAATTCTAACGTTGCGTTTGGTACATGGGTTTAAGGGTTGGAATGAAATATGCATTCTTTGGTAATGCTGATTCCTATGTTTGGTTGACAGGAATTGAAATTCATTCCCATTCCTAAAGAATAGTTAATCCCACAAATTTTGGGATTAGGCATTACCAAATCTACCCTAGTATTTCCCATTCCATTCCAATTCAAGAATGAGCCATTCTGCCAAAAAAAAAACGCGATCGTCTGCTCCTCCTCTGATCTCTGTTCTTTTTCTCACATCTTCTCTTCTTCCTCACAAATGCCATGGCACTCCATCTCTCTTCTCATCCCCTCCCAGGGCAAGCCACATCATCTCGATGCTTCAACATCTGATCAAACTGGGTTTTACTTATGATCGAACCGACATCACCTTGAGACAAGGCTCCTACGATAAACAAGGGTACGCATAGGCTTTCTCCCTCTCCCTCATCTCTCTGTGAAGCAACGGTACGCATAGGTGGCCAGGAACTGCCTATATGAGCTCAAATCCGACCAATGCAGGTAATTACTTGTTAAATTTAATCAGCAATTCTCAAATCCAACCTAGAATTTTTAGGTTTTAGGATTTTTTTGTCGTTTTAAATGTGAATCTATCTCTTAAAAACACTTTGCTTCAATATTTCAAATCGATTTTTTACTTTCTAATTCGAGATATGGCAGTAGATCTTTATGCATATGAAACCAATCACACCTATAATTGGTGAAACGTTTTACAATACCAACTAGGTGTTTGTCAAAATGCCTGACAGAAAGTGGCCTTCTTTTTGCCTTCATGAGTGGTTATTGATGTGGCCTCCAATTTGTTTGAAATGTTGATTGGAGCATCTGTTAGTTTATACTCCATCAGGCTATATGATTCAACTTGAGCTTCTGCCATCAATTGAAGCAGAGCTTCTGCCATTTTTTTGTCCTGAGGCTGGTTATTTGAAGCTGAATTCAGATGGTGCTTCAAGAGGTAATCCAGGTGCTACAGGAGGTGGTAAGGTAGTGAGAAATGAGTTGGGGAGACTGGTTTTAGCAGCAGCATACTTTTATGGTGACTGTTCTAATACGGTAGCTGAATTTAGGGCCTTATTTGATGGCCTTCAGTTGCTTAAAAGCTATGGTTTGTGGGGATATGGGGTTGAGGTTGATTGTGATTCTCTAGTCTTGGTGAATGCTATTTTGGGAAAATGTGAGTGTGCCTGGCCTCTTCGAAATTTGCTTAGGCAGATTAACGATTTGTTGAGCTGTATGAATTTTAAGATAAGACATGTGTTCAGAGAATTTTGGTGTATGATGATAAGGGTTAAGGTTGCTGTTTTATTTGGGTGTGTAGGGATGGTGGTTGTCTGTTTTTTGCTTATGGCAGAGTTGAATGGCTTCTGGAAGTTTAGCAGGGTGTCATGTAAGGCTTGTCTGGAAGGCTGTCTGCTGATTTTTGCTGGAAGAATAGGAAAAGGTGGAGCTTCTGCTATTGTGCTCCCAACTGGTTTTTTTGGTAATTTTGTTTCTTGTTTAGTTGTTGCTGTAATTGGGAATACATTATGTTTTTTCCTTTTATTTCCTTCTTGTAATTACAGCTTTTGTGAATAAATAAAATTTTTCTTTTGTTAAAAAAAAAAAAGAAAGAAACAAAGTTGAACCTGTTCAGTGGTGGGATGTGTGTAGCAGAGCACATTGGCTTTGTGGTTGTGAATCTGTGTCCCTTGCACCGGTGTGATAGATGGAGGGATTGTTCCTTAAGCGGTATGTGCAGCCAAGGTATTTATGATGGCTGCATACGACTGCCAATATGGAGTTTTAAATGATTTTGAGAGAAATGTAGATGTATGATTGCAGAGAAATATTGTTTTTTGGGGCTAGCATATGATTCAGTATTATTTTTGGGAACGTAGACCGAATATAATTCTTTCAAATTGGATGATAACTATAACTCACAAAGCTAGTGGCACAATAGGTTTTATTTTTATTATTATGGATGTTCATGTAAATCAAATTATTTCTGTTGATTCCATGTATGAAAGTTTAATTTATATATTAATTTATATTTATTAAAATTTAGAGTGGAATAAATTTATGATTTTTTTTAGGTATTTTGTTTTTTTGGTATGATTTTATATCTTGTGTGTACCATTGAATGTTTAGGTGATTTAATAAATAAAAATCTATCTTTGAAAAAAAATATCGTTTTTTCTAAAAAAATATTTCTTCATACAAGTTAGCCTTATACTAAGTAAATTATTTTTACCTGGGAAAATATTTTTCTCGATATTTTTGCCAACGAACTAAAATAGGAGTGTGGGAATTATACATATTTATTTTGTTTGTCAAGTTTTAAAATTAATAGGTATGCTTATTGTAAGGAAGAATGTATGCTTAAGTTAAAATTTTATAGGTAAAAAAAAATTATTTTGTTTAAATTTCATTCTATTTAAATTTTTTTTCAATGGATTCTCATTTTTTCTAATTATAATTTTTTTTACACAACTTTTAAAGGCAATCGCAATCATAAAAAAAAAAATTGTTATTAATTGTTTTTAGTCATTATGTATGTTTTGGTTAAAGTTGATTCCATTCCAATGAAAATTTTTTTTTATCCAAACATAGAAATGGAATGAACATTCCATTCCAGCACTTAATCCTAAACAGCTGTCAAACATTGGAATGGTAATCCATATTCCATTCCATTCCCCAAACTCATTCCATTCCTACTGAAAAGCATTACCGCGTACCAAACGCAGCGTAAGTCTCTAACTTTGAACCTTAGACAAATATAAAATCAGGGAATAATCTAAAGCAAGAAGTTTGAGTAGGTATGACAAGAGCCCAAGTCCTAACACAGTGCCATTGACTGTGAAGTGTGAACCTAAGCCATTGCCAACTCATTACAGAATATTCAATACACCTTTTTATTTTTATTTTTATTTTTTGGACTCTAAAATATTAGACAAACCTCAAGCCTGGTTCTTTCAGATCAGATTGGGCACTGAAAAATTGGACTTGACATAGGCAAAGCTGGAGCATATAACTGTTTGCCATGTATTGGAAGCAACCAGAATATCAAAAAAGATTCAGAATTCCATATACTTCGAACAGTTTGAGGCCACTCCTAGTAACATTTTAATATTTAATGTCAAATCATGCTAGAAATCCACATTAATAGATGCAGTGGTTGTCTGAATACCTTATAAACCAATCCTTTTATTTTGACTAATAAACATTTAAACTTGTTGATGACTTTGTCTAACATAAGCACACTTGTGTAGTCAGCTAAGGAAATCAAAAGGTGGGGAAGGAGGAGATAATGGTATCATGATTCAAACAAATACAACTTTGGGAAAAAGCCAAAACTAATAAACAATTGTTGAAGTAATCTCATTAGCATAGCACCAGCACCCCCCCCCCCCTTAAAAAAAACAAAAAAAAAAACACCCTGCTGACATCGTAATTAGAAATAGCGACTAGTGACTTCTTAAAATAATTGAATTTTATTGGAAATTTAACTGGAAGCAAATTACCCAGAATGGATTTCATTTTAACACAACATTCGCTTTATAAGGTGTGCTTTGCCTTGATGGTTCACCGATTTGTAACAGCTATGCATAAGAATAGCTTCTCCCTAACTTAAACATTGTCTTTGTGATTTGCATAGATCTCACTCAAGTCCCAACAAGTGTCTGCAAGCACCAGTGGGCGGGTGTGCATATGGAGAGAGAGAGATAGAGAGAGAGAGAGCAAGACCTTTTCCACGACAATAAGGGCAATCAACTCTTCCGCTTCCTCTGCATACAACGCATGATGAATCTGGCGTTTTTCTTTGTTCTTTCCGAACATTTGACTGCAACAAATAAATGGTGTCCAAAAACATTACCAAGTGAAAGTAAGGTAAAAGTAGATAAGTTGTCTTATGATGATCATAATGAAATGCTAGCATCCAATTACCCAGTCTATTGTTTTGCACAAAGGCGAAAAAAAATGAAAATTTTGTAAAATCTAATAAAAAACCACATAGGGAAAACTTTTTAGCCACTTATTTACAATAAGAATGCCATGTTTAGTCCTTGAAATGCTCAATAATGAGTATAATCTACTCTGACATGTAAATAAGATAAAATCACCAAGGCAATGTGGGACAAATGTGATGGCTCCAATAGTTACAATGAACCAGAATATTGGCTTACTAGATTCGCTATGCTATGCTAGAATGAATTCCCACAACATGAATTGAGTGCATGAACATTTACATGCAGGAATTAAAGTACTTCGATAAATAAGCATACTGCATATCTTGAAGCAAAACTTCGTGACTTCAACCTCAAGGGTAGCAACTTACAATTTTCCATTTTTCTTTTCTTTCCTTTTCTTGCTTTTTTCAGCAGTCAAACAAGTATTAGAGGATAAAGCTGTTGGAATTGCTCCAATGCTACTTAGGTTGGAAAATCAGTCTGGCACCACTTTATTGAAGTCAAGAGAACTAGAAATAAAATGGAAGGAAATAGAGAATAACACTCAAAGAAAAAATAATTTCATTCAAGTTGATTAAAAAGCACACAGTTAACTTGGACTCTCCAACTTCTACTTAACTCTACTTACCTCTAACAGTAGAATATCTATCCTATTTCTATAGGTTCAAACCATTACTCCTAGTATTACATTCACATACCACTACAACCACTAATTAACACCCACTAATAATATTGTTTTCCACTACTTGCAGATTCCTTTCCCACCAACACACCTTAATAATATCATAAAACTCTAAAACAATTTTATTTTCCAACATCCTCCCTTAAACTTGATTTTGCACCTCGTCCTTATCATGCAAATCACTTCATGATAGAGGGGTTTCGTAAAATTATTACAAATTTC